ACACCCACACCCACCCACACCCACACCCCACACCCACACCCACCACACCCACACCCACACCCACCCACACCCACCCACACCCCACCCTTATTTTTTATTTAATTTATTTAAATATAAGCCAAAAAAACACAAACAAAGAGAAAGTCAACATTTTTTTCGTACAAGAAAAAAACACAATTTTTACGTTTTTGAAAGTAAATAAAAATTTAAATGTTTTATTCATCATCATATTTATATCCACATTGTTGACAATTATTTTTTGTTGCTGGTCTTTTAAAATTATGTGTTACACGTACTAATTGATAATATTCGACCATAATTGAAACATTATTTGATAAACATGTTTTTGTATCAAATAAAAATTGCTCGATGTAATCATCATGAGCATCATCGAAATTTAATGCAATTATATGTATAAATTGAGCTATTGGTAAATTTGTTTCTTCATTTTTTTTTCTTTTTGTGGTTGTCGATTAGTAACAGATAAACTTTCTATAAATGGAAATGATTGAGATATTCGAATGAAAAATTCATGTTCAAATGGATATTCATCAAATAAAGAAATTTCTGTAACAAATTGATATATTTCACTTTGAAAATTATTTGTTATATTGTAATAAAATTTCATTTCATTTGAACATGAGTATGAGTATATATTACAATGACCCATACGACTTTCAGGATAGTAATTAATATAAGAAAAACTATAATTATTTCCGACATTTATTAATGATTTTCGAATATCTTCATTTGAAGGTAAATCATTTGGATTATCACTTGGAATAAATGAATGTATATTAAAACCAAATTGTTTCAAATTTAATAAATAATTTATAATATTATATTTCAAATTGTTACCATCAATAAATGTTTCTTTATGGACAACTAGAAGATATAGACGAAGTTTTTCTAAATTTAACATCCGATGTATAAGTGGAACAATTAATTCATCATATACGTTTGTACTAGCATCGGATGTTAATGAAAAATATTTTAATTTAAATAATATTTTCTAGTAAAAAAAAGAATTTAATTAATTTGTTTTATTAAGAAAAATTGACTCACTTTATTATTTATTGTTGTTTCATCTGCATTAATACGTGAAATTCTAACACATAATGTGTGAAGATTTTCAAAACGACCATCAAGTAAATACAGACAATCATTAAAACAATTAACATTTATATTTAATTTTAATAAATTCATAGAAACAATACTTGGTGGTGATGAAAATCCAAATGATATTTGTTGATGATCAACTAAATTTGCGGTAAAATTTAAATAATCTAAATTCGTAAAAATTTTAAAAATTGATGTGAATATAACACGTAATGAATCACTCAATAATCGTTGTGATTTATTATTAAACCTAATAATAAATGAAGTTATTTGGTTTTTATATATATTTAAAAATGAATTATTATCTAAATAAATAAATAAATAAAGTAAGAAAACTAAATAAATATCGAACTTCTTACTCTCCAATAAAAAAAAAACGTATTTGCATCAACATTATATAAACCAAGTTTATATAGATTAGGATAAATTGTTGTAAGAAAGATAGGTTTCATAGAAGATAATTCAACATTAAGTGATTGAATCTTGTAATGAATATCTGGTAAAATTTTTAAACAGAATAAATCTAATAATTCATTATCTAATTTACAAATAACATCCTGTGACAAACATTTAAATAACGTCAAATTACTTGTGATAACTTCATCATATACAATATTATCAATTCTTTTATTTAAACCTTTTAAGTGAAACACGTCAATCGTATTTAATTTTGTCAATATACTCAAAAACATTTCATCAGGTAAATCAAGCAATTTACTAGGTGATGATGATGCCATGTTTATGTTTACATCTAAATATCAATATTTGTATATTTATATGAATGAATAGACAGAATCGTTCAACAACCAATAATTCTATTGAACGAATTGTTAACCAAACACTAAATCAGCAAAGATAAAAACACCAGTAAAGAGGAAGCCAAAATAAATTTTAGAAATGGTTTCCTTAGTGATCATAAATGTCTGAAATATATTTTTTCCTTATAAAGTTTTTTTAATTTTTATTCATTAATTCTTAGTTAATTATTTTATATATAAATTTATAAAGAAGGAACAAATACAAATAAAAATGATTAAAGAAAAATATATCTAATAAAAATCAACGACGAATCTCTAAATAATATTGATTAACAAAATCTATGTCGAAGTACAAATTAGGGTGGGTGTGGGGGTGTGGGTGGGTGGGTGTGGGTGTGGGTGTGGGTGTATTTCAATAAGATACTTACACGCACACCCACACCCACCCACACCCACACCCACCCCACACCCACACCCACACCCCACACCCCCACCCACCCACACCCACACCCCCACCC